AATCGGTTTCATTTCTAAGTTTTTATTTCATTTTACTAGTTATGACTCACAAACACTAACTTAATTTTTGTATGTATAAAAAAATAACTTAATTTTTGTCTAATAACACAGACATGTTAGTGCAATGATAATTTCAAATCTAAATATTTAGAATCATTTTTGAATCACTATATGAATCGTGAAAAATTGAATTTTAATTTAAAAAACAATAATTGTTTATAAATTCATAGAAAAATATTGTTAATTGATGGTGTAAGCAGTGCATGAGAACCGTAAACGGTTAATGGATATCCATGATATTATGAACATTAAAATTGTACACACAAAAAACGATTTCATGACATTCAAGTTCTTAGAACACATTATTTCATTAGGGTACTTCACTTTATTAAATCACATACAAATTCTACCCTAAAATATTTTAGAACCAAAACAAAATATGCACAAACAAAACAATCGGGTGACGTTTCCCCCTGCTGAATTGAAGTAACTATCGATCTAACCCCTTCATTTTTATGTAATAAAAGGTCTATTTTAGTACTCATTTTCTTCAGTTGTTTTCTGGCTGGGAACCCTCGCCCATCTGTGTGTGAAATACTCCGTATTATGTGGATCATATACGTTGAGGAAGTTAGGATGTTTTTACTTGGACTGTAATTTGCCCCAGACCAGACCAGACCAGTCCAGACCAGACCAGACCAGTTCAGAACAGACCAGACCAGACCAGACCAGACCAGACCAGACTTTGATAGTTATAAAAATACAAAGAAACCAGACCTTACCAGACAAGACCAGACCAGTTCAGACCAGACCAGACCAAACCAGCAAATTACAGTCCAAGTAAAAACATCCTTAAGAGTAAATATTTCAAATTAATGCCAGCAAATAGCCAAATAGATACTACGTACAATGGAGTACTAGGCGAGACAATCGTAGACTACAATGGTCTACATGAGATCACTTCAAACAAGAAGAGATTAGTACGTTCAAACAAACAAAAAAACGTAACCAATCCAAATGAAAATTTATTATACAAGAAGTTTATTTGTACAAACTAACTTGTACACATTTTGCACGTGTACACGCTTATTTTTGACTGTACACGGACAAAAATGAGCATGTACACAAGACGCATTAAAATTGTAATATAGGCATTTCATAATATTAAAATTGTTTGGTGAACACACATTTCATCAGTTTTTTAAATAAATGTCTCTTATACAATTAGAAAAAATTACTTGTACTAGTATACGATATCAACAATTTTTCACTCTAAATTTTGTTGGAATAACAAATAATTTGACTCAAAAGCACAGTCAAGTTACTCGTGAAATAATAATTTGAGCATTCACAGGGGCCACAAGCAAGGGCGTATGAGGAAAAAAGGGGAATGGCACACACGATGTGTACGAATTGGCTCTTATTTACAAATTTTCACCTATTTTAACTCTTATCTAACGACAAAAACAACATTATCTCAATGTTGCAAATTAAAGACTACCATCTACAGTGTAGTAAAGGAAAATTGGATGTTCACAATTTTCTTTTATACTAAAGCACAAAAAGATTTTTTTGGACGACTCCTAGTGAAGATCTTGTGGAAAATCGCATGAACTAACTATTATTTCTAAACAAAGAATCGAATACAGTTTAATTATTCATTTTAGTTTATTCCCAAGACAGTTGTTTAGGAGGAGTAATAAATGCTTAGTATTGGGGGCCTACTTTTATAGGAGCCTCAAAAGGTGAATTGCAATTTATTCCCAAATGGAAGATTCGAAGACAATATGTATTGTTTGAGATTTCAAAATATGTATATATAACTTTTAGATAGTCTAATCTATACATTTTAAACATTATCAAAGTTATATTACACTAAACTTGTGAAATAATGGGAAAGGTTACCCCAATAGGGTACCTGGCAGGTATATTTATAATAATAAGAGTTTCCAAGAATACAAATTATTCCTAAATTAACATTAGGCTATTACCTAATTTAATATTAGGCTATTACACCCCCTCAAACTGTGCGGGAGATACAACGCGCAGGTTGTCCTTTAAAAAATGAAATTGCTGACTAGAGAGACTCTTAGTAAATATATCAGCCAGTTGAAGACTAGTAGGCACATATTTAACGACAAGATCACCATGAGCCACGCGTTCACGAACAAAGTGATAATCAATCTGAATATGCTTGCTCCGAGCATGTTGAACAGGATTCGCTGTCAAGTAGGAAGCAGAGATGTTGTCGCAGAACAGACGAACTGGGGCCGTGACAGTAAATCCAAGCTCGAACAGAATGGACCGAATATGAAGTGTGTCCTGCACCGTGTAAGCAATAGCACGATACTCTGCTTCTGTAGAGGATTTGGAGACAGTAGGCTGCTTCTTGGATTTCCAAGACACGAGATTGGGTCCTAGAAAAACAGCATAACCCGTGGTGGACCGAGACGTGTCGGGACACCCAGCCCAATCTGCATCCGAGTATGCTATAATGCAAGTCGCCTTTGGTGTGGGCTGAAGCCACAGACCATGATCAATGGTACCCTGCAAATATCTAAAAATCCTTTTGACAGCAAAAAGGTGAGTAGTGCGTGGGGCATGCATAAACTGAGAGACTAAATGCACTGCATAAGTAATATCAGGTCTTGTCAAAGTTAAATACTGTAATGCACCTACCATACTGCGATACTCAGTCGCATCTGCAAGTAGCTCGCCATCAGTGAGAGATAAGGAAGTACGAGACGCAAGGGGAGTGCGAACTGACTTGACAGTGTGTAAATGAAAGCGAGATAAAAGGTCAGAGACATATTTCTGCTGGGAGAGAAACAAACCTTTAGGATTACGAATGGCCTGAATGCCAAGAAAATAATGAAGATCACCCAAGTCTTTCATGGAAAAATGGTGAGCAATAAGATGAATGAACTGAGTGACAACAGATGATGAATTGCCAGTAATAATAATGTCATCCACATATAGTAACAAATAAATAATCGAAGTGCCCTGGCGGTAAATGAATAGAGAGTTATCCGACTTACTACATAAAAAGTTATGAGAAAGTAGGAAACTACTGAACTTATGAAACCATGCCCGCGGGGCCTGCTTAAGACCATAAATAGCCTTGCGCAGACGACATAAATGATGAGGATACTGAGGATGAATAAAACCCCGCGGCTGACGCATATAAACTTCTTCAGTAAGATGACCATGAAGAAAAGCATTTTTAACATCAAGCTGACGCATAACCCACCCGAATGAAATAGCTAAAGTGAGAACAGTACGAACAGTGGTGGGTTTAATAACAGGACTAAACGTTTCAGAAAAATCTACACCAGCCTGCTGATTAAACCCCTGAGCAACTAACCGTGCCTTGTGGCGCTCAATAGACCCATCTGAAAGAAATTTTGTCTTATAAATCCACTTAGAGCCAACAATATTTTTAGAGTTATCAAAAGGTACCAAATCCCAAGTGTTGTTAGCAATAAGTGCATTAAATTCCTCAGCCATAGCCTTACGCCATATCAAGTGTTTATTTGCCTCAGAAAAACAAGTAGGATCTGCTGAAAGAACAACCGTGTTTAAATTAAAAATAGTTTTTGGTTTAAAAATTCCAGATTTCGCCCGAGTTTGCATCGGGTGGACATTAACAGGGGAAGGGGGGTGCTGTTCGGGCTCAGGTGCGGGGCTGGGGAGTGGGTTTGTAGATGGGGTGATAGGTGGGTTGTTCGGCTGAAATGGAGTGGGGTCAGATACAGGGCTGGTCGGTGGACTGGACTCAGCTGAGGAGAGCTCGAGCTGCTTGGTGTCCGGTGTAGCGAGGTGTTCCGGACTGGAGAAGCTGACCGGGATGGGGTTTGAGGTTGGGGTGGTCGGACAGGCCGTATGGCGGGACTGAGGTGGCTGGTTTGGGATGGGCCGAGGATTCCGAGGAAGAGGTAAGAGAGCAGGTCGGGGATGGTCCTTTGGGAGTAAGTCTGATCGGCTCCAGGAGGAAATAGGGAGAGGAGTTTGGGAGGTAGAAGGCGTGTTATGCATAGTAGAGGTCAAAGTGGTGTACGGAAAAATATTTTCACAAAAACGCACATGCCGACTTATGTATACTTTTCCGGTTTGAGGATCAAGACAACGATAACCTTTATAACCAGATGCATATCCTAGAAAAACACATTGAATGGATCGAGGAGAAAGTTTATTGGAGGAACTGGCAGAAATATTTGGAAAACACGCACAACCAAAGACACGTAAAAGGGAATAATCAGGAGATTTTTGAAAAAGTTTTTCATAAGGAGAGTGACCAGACAACGTTGGAGTGGGTAATCTGTTAATAATATATACAGCCGTAAACAACGCATCAACCCAAAAATGACTAGGAAGAGATGCCTCAATAAGCATAGTTCTAGTTAGTTCAAGTAGATGACGATGTTTACGTTCAGCAAGCCCATTTTGTTGAGGAGTGTGAGGGCAAGATTTTTGAAAATAAATTCCATGAGTATCAAAAAATTGCTGCATATGAGAATTAACAAACTCACCCCCTCCATCACTTTGAAAAATTTTAATTCTAGAGTTAAAAAGATTTTCAACTAAAGATTTAAAAATTTTAAAAGAGTCAAAAACCTCGCTTTTATGACGTAATGGGTAAATCCATGTAAAACGAGAAAAATCATCAATAAAGCAGACATAATATTTAAACCCTAAATTAGAAAGAACAGGAGATTGCCACACATCAGAATGAATTAATTGTAAAACAGAGGAAGAAGTGTGAATAGCATCTGAAAAGGGTAATCGTTGAGACTTGCCTAACCGGCAAGAAATACAGTCATGGGAAAAACTAGAGCTATTACATATGCGTTTTTGACCACTTAAAATATGTAAAATATTTTCACCACAATGACCTAATCTACGATGCCACACAGGGCCGGTGGTGAGGACTGAAGATAAAGCTAGGCTAGATGGTGGACTCAGGCTGAGAGGATAGAGATGGCCATTAGTTATTGCCCAAAGAAGAACCGCCCCCGAAATTTTGTCCTTAACAAAAAAGGAATTTTTGTCAAAAATAGCAACACAGTTGTTATCAGCACACAATTTTTGAATTGAAATTAAATTAAATTTAATATTAGGCACATGATAAACAGATTTCAACAGCAGTTGGCGGCCAGAGAAATTTAAAGAAATATCACCAACATGTTTTATAGGGAGTTGAGCACCATTAGCAACACTAACAATAGTTGGACCAGAATAAGTAGATTTATTTGTCAAAATACCTTCAGAGGAAGTCATATGAGCAGAAGCACCAGTGTCTGGATACCACAGAGCTTCATTAGCTTGACCGGTGAGAAGAACAGGTGCAGTAGATGGAGAAAAACGAGAGGGACAGTTGATTGCAGAATGGCCTGCAGAAAAACAGATTTGACACACAACGGGTGGGGGAATTGCCCCAAGAATTCCCTCAGTTGATGAAGAGCCTGCAGATTTAACATTAGTACCACAATATAATATAGCATTAGTATTTAAGGTGGACAAAACAGAATTACTCATGGCACCTGCATTCGGAGGTCTCAGTTGTTGCTGGCCGAACCCCTGCTGATGGTGCTGTCCCGGTTGCTGGCCCTGCTGCGGAGCTGACTGCTGCTGCCCGTGGCCCGGTTGCTGGCCGTACTGGTGGTAACCACGGCCTCTGCCGCGGCCGTTTCTTCCACGGCCACCCCTGCCGCGGCCACCGCGGCCTCCATGTGGGGCTCTGTCTCGATCTTGGACACCGAAAGCTTGGTAAGCAGGCGGAGTATTTTGCTGACGAAGATATAGGACCCTCTGTTCGGCTTCTAACAAGCTCCGGTGAAGAATGTCTGGCGGGAAATTATCGGGAAAAAGAGAAATAGTGCCCATGGTGGATTCATATTCTGGTCCGAGCCCCATAAGTGTGGTTTGAAGAACTTCTTTATCGGACACAGGAGAATTTATTGTAGCTAATTCGCTTACTAATGCATGAATTTCTCTTAAATTATAATAATAAGAGTTTCCAAGAATACAAATTATTCCTAAATTAACATTAGGCTATTACCTAATTTAATATTAGGCTATTAAAACTGTCTAGTGTATTTATTGAGCATAATATTTATTTAGCCCATATGTTTGTAAATAGTCTTGGACCGTAGGGCTGCTATTAGTGAAGCCCATGTAAACTACTGTATAAATACTACTCCTACTACGTAATGAAAGGCATGCATATTTGACCCTAAAGTTTGTCATGGTATCAGAGCACGCCGCTCGTAATACCTTTGTGCGTGAACTTGGCTATTATTCTTGGTCGCAGAACACTGCCGAACGAAGACGGGAACTGCATCAGCGTTGAAGTTGTTCCGTCGTCATGTCCGGCGACGAGAAGATAGATGTGACCTCTCCGTATTACTTGGGTGCCGGAGATCAGCCCGGTAATCTTATAACCCATGTAATTCTTACCGGCGATAACTACGTAGCTTGGTCTAGAGCGATAACACTTTCGTTAAAAGCCAGAAGAAAGTTTGTATTCGTGGATGGCACGATTAAGAAGCCGACGGTACCGCGACAAATGCTTACTTGGGAGACGGTTAATTCTATGATTGTATCATGGATTCTTCGCAGTATTGACGGCAAAATTGCGGGAACTATTCCGTTTCATGTGGAGGCCAAACCGCTATGGGATTACCTTGAGAAAAGGTACTGTGTCGCAAATGGTCCTAGGCTCCAACAATTGCGCGCGGACATCGTCGGGTGCCGGCAGACCAAAGGGATGAGCGTTGATGATTATTTCAATCGGCTCATGTCTCTCTTTGATGAACTGGGACGCTTAAAGCCGCTGCACGCTTGTAATTGTGGGGCATGTACTTGTGAAGTGGCGGAAAAATTCGCCGCCGATCGGGAAGAAGAAAAACTTCATCAGTTTTTGGTCGGGATAGACGACGAATATTACTCTGTGACTCGCTCTAACCTGCTCTCTCAAACAGTTCCAGTCACACTGGACAGAGCATACCACGCAATGCTTCAAGAAGAGAAATCAAGGGACATAGCACGTGGCAAAACTGTACAAGAAGACCCACATGCCTTTGCATTGCGGGCAGATTTTCCCAGGGGTGAACGAGTGGACAAAACCAAGCTAGTGTGCAGCCATTGTAAGCAGAAAGGCCACGAGATAGGAAGCTGCTTCAAACTCCACGGCTATCCCGAATGGTGGGCGGAAAGAAACCGGGGCAACAAGGGGCAGTCCTCTGGACGTGGTGCACAAGCTGGGAAGAAACAGGCACATGCTCATGCAGTAATGGACGAAGGTCCGAGAGGAGGAATTGAAAGTTCTGTGGGGCAGTTTAAACCAGAGCAAGTGCAGGCACTTCTCAATTTAATTAATAATTCTGATGAAAAAGTTGTTGACCGTATGACTGGTAAGACTCGTTCTTCTTTTTGGATTCTTGATAGCGGGGCCACACACCATGTTACCGGTAATGTTGAATTTTTGACCAACTTTACAAGTGTTGAAAATTGGACGATTGGTTTGCCTAATGGGCAGCGAGTTGCGGCCAAGATGATCGGCAACGTCTATTTATCTGAATATCTTACTTTGAAAAATGTGTTGTGTGTACCGCACTTAACGTGCAACTTGATCTCTATTGCACAACTTATTGATGATATGAAATGTATTGTTAAATTCACTGATAATTTGTGTGCTATACAGGACCGACTCTCGGGGAACCTGATTGGAGCCGGTGAGAGAAGGGACGGACTCTACTACTACCGGAGTATTCCTACCATTCAATTGCTGACAGGTTCAACGGTTGAAGATTTTGACTTGTGGCATCGCCGCATGGGACATCCCTCCGATAGAGTTCTCAAGTTAGTGCCAGCTGTTGGTTGTAATTTAAGTAACAACTCTTTGAATAAGCCGTGTATGGCATGCCCTATGGCAAAGAAAAAACGTGACAGTTTTCCTATTAGTGACAATAAAGCAACTCGCATTTTTGAATTATTACATTGTGATTTGTGGGGACCCAACCGCACTCCTTCTTCTTGTGATGCTGTGTATTTTTTGACCATTGTGGATGATTTTTCTCGTGCGGTATGGGTATATCTGTTGCGTACCAAAAATGAAGTCCAAAAAGTTTTTTCTTCATTTTTGGCTATGGTGGAGCGTCAATTTGAGACGTCTGTCAAAAGGGTGCGTACCGACAATGGTACGGAATTTACTTGCATGGCTGATTTTTTTGCTACCCGTGGTATTTTATTTCAAACTTCTTGCGTTGGAACTCCCCAACAAAATGGCAGGGTAGAACGGAAACATCAACATATTCTTAATGTTGCTCGTGTTCTCATGTTTCAAGCACGGTTACCTATCCGGTTTTGGGGGGAGTGTATTCTTGGTGCAGTTTATTTAATTAATCGCACACCCTCGGGTCTTCTTGGAAATAAAACACCGTTTGAGTTGGTGTGCGGGAGGCCCCCGACGTATGATGAATTGCGTGTGTTTGGATGTTTATGCTTTGCACACAATCAACGTGCTAAAGGGAACAAATTTGCACCGCGGGGACGCAAATTAAATGTATTTTTGTTGGTTACCCTAATGGGAAAAAGGGATGGAAGTTATTTGATTTGGACACAGAAGAATTTTATGTGTCACGTGATGTTTTTTTTCATGAACAAATCTTCCCCTTTGCGGAATCTACTGCGCCAACTAGTTCCACTCTTCCTTCTCCCATCATAGGCTTTGATGATGACATTGAAGATATTTCCTCCGCCGCTATTGATGACAATTCTTCATCCAAAACTATGGGTGCAGGGAATGAGCACACTACAACTTCAGCCACTTTAATTGAACCCTCGGGTAATGCTGAGACCGAAATAAGGGGGGAGGAGACGTCCTCCCACTAGTAGAAAAACTGCTTACAGTGACATTTTGATAGTGACACTTTTTTATAAAATGCTATTAAAATGTTATTAGTGACATAAAAGTGTCGCCATTTTCTAACAAAATAGATGAGTATCATCAGTGACACTCTACTTTTTTTGCGGAGTAAACTTAAAGGCCGGCGCCACTGTTCATATTACAAACGGGTCGGCCTTTTTACACTTAGCTTTCCCCCTTCTTTCTCTGAACTCTGAAGTCTGAATCAACTTTAACATCACTCTTTCTCTTCTTACTTGCAACACCGTACCAGAGCTTCCACGACCAATTGTCCACTATGTTTGGTTTTGATTCGTGACTTATAATTTGTTTTCTCTTGTTGTTCTTGGTCGGATTGGTCAACTAATACCACTTCTATGTTTGGATTCGGATTTAGAACACTGAGTTACGGCCAAAAACTCCAATTGGGTGTTAATTTGATTAATGTTTGTTTTAGGGATTTCTTTCTATTTCTGAGTCGAATTTCCCTTCTGATTACATTTTCGAGCTTCGATTTGTTTTTGGAAAGAGGATTCTTGGGCAAAAACTCAAATATGAACTGAAGCTATTCGCGAACTTACTGTTCACTTCTGAGACTGTTCATAGCCAAATCGTTTTGTAAAAGCTTCGATTTAGGTTTTTGTTTCTGGAATTGAGGTTTGCAGGTTGCTGATACTCGTACTACGAACTTTTTGACGGAGTGAGGAAAGGTTGTTCGGTGGATACCAAGAAGTCCGGACAGTTCGTTGTTCACCTGCGAGTATCTTTCCCAATCTCCTGCTTTCATCCGGCTATGGTGAGGAAGATGCAGGGGTCTGTGACCAGGTCCCGGTTTGCTATCCCGGCAGACACAGATGAGGAGTTCCCAGCTCTATCTGATGGAATCAGTGCGAAGAAGACTGCAAAACTATTTAACTGATGCTGCTACGACCATGAGTTCTTTGAAAATTGCAGGGGGGGGGGGGGGTCTACCACTGATATAGTGAATTCAGTCCCAGGTGCTTGGAAATCTGCATAGCGTAATTCTTCCAATCACAAGGCTAAAGATGTTCTGAAATCTGGGAATTACTCCAAGGTGCCAGAAACTGGGCAGAATGTGAACGAGGGGATTTAGGTGGGAGCTAGGCATATTTCACAGGAGGATGGGATATCGTTGGGTATTTAACTACCTGTGATTCCTGGGGAGCTTACTGCTACAAGTTTTCCAAAACAGAATGAAGGGGCTATTAAGCCGCGGACTACTCTTTTCAAATAGTTTATTACATATTCTCATATAGATTAAATATAGTCGTAAAGATGATTCATTTATAAACATTTCCGGTATTGATATCACTTTTGTCAGGTGGACAGCTAGCTCTCGTTTTATGTGTAGCCTTGTTAATGTCATCATTTTTTTTATAAATGTGAAATTCTTACAATTTTAAAATATCATTTAGAATACTTGGTAATAGTTTTAAGTGGGAGACATATATATTAATTAAGTGCCTCAATTACTTGGTGTGTTTTGCATGATTCTCCATGGTTCATTATGTAAGGTTGGAGCTCCACTTATAAAAGATTAATTACAGTTGGTTGGAGATCCTATATTATTGTAATACACTAATAGTTTTTTGAAGTAGTGCTAATTAATTTATAAAGGATAGGTTGGAGAAGAATCAGAAGATTAAATTTCTAGGGTACAATAACTATGAGAGGTATGATCTGCCTGTCTTCATTTTGGTATGTATAGAGCTCTACACTTCTACTTTGATCTTGTAGTTTCTCTTTTAAAGGATATATGAGATTGTTTTTTTTTATAATTGATCATCTTACATTGAACTTTCATTGTTGGTGGTCTGGTTGTAGTATGGGTAAGCTTGGGAACTAATATGTGATTTAGCTTAGTTAAATCAACTGAGCTATTCACCTGTGAATCCATTTTCTTCAGGGGGAGGTTCCATTTCAATCTCCTC